GTGCACGTGGGCCAAAGTGGCGGGTTTGCCCTGCCATGGGCTGCGACTGTGTGAATCCTCCTCTGCTGCTTCACTGCGGCATTGTCATAGAGCATGTTCTTTACTTCGCTTGTCTCAGCTGGGGTCCATGGATTCAGCTCCTCCATGGGGAAGGGGTTTTGGCCCCTGCTGCGTGCTCCAGATCCCAGCCCATCGCCTCTCCCTTGAGCCTCTCACAGGGAATCTCATCAGAGGTGTTTCACCGTGGCAGCACTGCGGCCGCCTGCCTCGCCAGCAAGAGGGTCCCACGAACCCTGACATCTTATTTTCCTTAAAAGCAGCATTCTGCAGGAAAGCTGGAAGCCGCGTGCAAGCGCCCGTGTGTGTGCAGGCACAGGCACGTGTGGGGCTGCATTTGTGCATCCATGTCCGTGCTCACGCATGCCTTCCTGCTCAGGCATCAGTGCCCAAGCGTGGGACAAACTCCAGTGCTCTTCCACAAGCCCTGCTTTTAGCATAAAATTTAGGGTAAATTAGAGCACCCCCATGTGCATGTTTTTCAACCTGTCTTAGCCTAAGGCCCACCTAGCATCTGAAGGGAAAAAACCCACCCGTGTGGTGTCTACATCTGCAGCCACAGAGACACCAGGATACATTTCACGTGCTGGCTCGCTCCTGCTATCTGCTCGTGATTTGCTGTTTGTGGCTGCAGACGTATTCAGCTGGGCCTCATTTCTATGAGCTTTTTGCAATCATTTCACAACCCCGACACCGCACCCAGCACAACAAGGAGTCCCGCAGAAGGCAGGGCCGGCCTCACAGCGCTGGATGCAGTGCGTCCCCAGCAAACGCAGGGCTGCCTCCAGCGCTCCCCAGGCAGCCCCGGCTGATTCCCAGTGCGTGGGCGTCAGTTCCCAGGCTCCCAGCGAAGGCCCAAGGCCAGAGCACAGCCTCGTTAATAAACTTGGTTTAATGTTGTTTTCCCAAAGCAGCGGGGAGCACAGAGCCCCTGCTTTGAGCAAGCAGTGCTTGACCGGGGAGGGTCAGAGCCAGCGACGGGCTCGGCCGTGAGCAAAAGATGCCGAGTACAAAAGCCTTTTGTGTCCCCATGTTTGCTGGCATCTCGGGACCTCCCGGTGGGGACGGATGAGCAAACAGGATGACTTCACCTTGCTGGGCAACGCAGTTGCAAGAGAGGGGACGTGCACGGTTCCCCTCCCCTGTGCCAGCAGCTCCCACCCCCTGCACCCCAGGGATGCAGCGCCCAGGGGGGCTGCAAAAGCCAGGACCTGGGGGGTGACTGTGTGTGGGGTAGGAGAGCAGCCCCCCTGTGCAGCCCTTCCCACCCCACCAAAGCCCATCACAACAGCCAGAACGAGTGAGTTTGGTTGTAAAGGATATATTTTATTGCCTCGCATCCTGTCCAAAAGCCGGTCTGGCAGACGGCCGCATGCTCCCACTTGGAGAAGAGGGCAGCACGGAGCCAGCTCAGCGCCCGTCCCATACGCAGGGCCGGTATCTTGGACTTCACAGTTTCTTTACACAGCCTTAAAATAATAGACCGAAACGCCCGCCTAATAAAGCAATCAAGCCAGATAAACGTGCTTGATATAAACACTTCAGCTACAAGCTTTGCTCCAGCCAACACACAGCCTTTGCTGATACTGTTAAGCCCCGCAAATCCTATTATTGCTATTATATGACTTAATAGACCTTTACTGACCAAAGTCCGCGTCTGAAGTCTCCGCAAGCAGATAGCACTGCGGCTGTGGTACAGCCCTTCACCTTGCTCCTTCTGGGCATGCTGGGGGGGGGTTGCAAGCACAGGGAGATGCCATTTCCCCGCCAGCCCTGTCCCCCCTCTACTTGCAGTCTCACCTTGTGGTGTCCTTGGGTTAGTGACTTCTCATTTTACTAAAGGTTTGGGACAGAGCTGCTCTCAAACGGCTGCAGCGTGTCTGCGATGAATTTTGCAAAGTCTTCTATTCCCCCACCTGCACAGCCTCATGTGCGGTTTTCACCACCTGGGCTTTTCAGACTTGGAAAGAAAGTATATGAGCGGGGTTTTTTTGGGGGGGGAAAACTAAGCATTTGGCTTAATAATGTCTGAATCTCTGACAACAGCAAACCCAAGGGAGATAAAAGGGTAAAATTCCACTAAAATGAGTAATTTGTTCTGATTTCACTGCAATTTTTCACCTAAAAAAAATAAAAAATCAAAGGGCCAAATCCTGACTATCTTTCTCCAAACTACACTGCAACAGCATGCTATAAAAGCCAAAAGGAAAGCCTAGAACAGCCCAGACATACAGCCACACTGTCACCTCTGCTGTCCCCAAACTCTCCATCTCAGCTGCTATTTAATTGCCCTGCAAGGAAGCGCCCAGCAAGCAGCCCAGGCAGGAACACGGGGACATGGGACCTGCCTCGCACCCCACAGCCCCGCAAGCCAAAAAGGAGCAAACAGGTGGGAGGGAAATGAAATGCAGCCATTGTTTATTTGGTAGAAAAATAAGAGCAATCTTCCAGAAAAGCCAGCCTGCAGCATAAAGGGTACTCTGTGAAGCACAAGGAGCCAGAAGTAGAGCCCTCCAGGAAACTGAATGAAAGCACAGTCTTTAAATATAAATACAAATGTGTAAAAACCCCCCAAAAAAGCCATAGGAAAAGCTGCCATCCTGCCAGGCTACAGAAATCCCCTCTGGTGGGACGGCTGCCCACTTCCCTGCCATGGCTCAGCTCCCACGCAGGTCCAGGTCCCTGCTGGCATGGCCATGGGGCGAGCAAGGACCTGGGTGCCCCCCGCC